ATATGTCCGGGCGGGGCCCCTTACAATGCAGAAACTGGAATGCGGTATTTATTTTGCCACTTTTAGGGGCCCCCTTCCTTGCGGGGCCCCCTCCGGTCGGAGGGTACGGAGGGCGCTCGCTACACCTCTGACCTCTTTTATGACTGGAAAGTAATATAACTAAAATTGGTTTCTTCTGGTAAACTAATATTTACCATAATTAATTTCTGAAATCCTGACTTCTCCCAAAAGTAATTTAGTTTTACTTAGATAATGGTCAGAATCATCCATATATTCAGCAACATTAGGTCCTAAAATAACAAACAAACAAAAAAGACTTCCTGTAATTTTTTTTTATGATAGACTAAATCTTGCCCAAATGGTTTAATCCAAGAAAAGCAAGCAAACCAAAAATGCAGATATCTTTAAGTGCATAAAATTAGAACTACATATGTGCATAAAAGTTAATTGGTAGTGGTTAATTTCACTAAGAGTTATCTATCATTGAAGCAGTGTCCATCACTGGTGTACTGTATAGAGTATATAATATATTCAGTATTTTAAAAAAATGCAAAGATTCTATTATGTAAACCATACCATGGGTATGGGTTTTAGAATTCCCATGTGCCATTGTATGATGGACAACAGTCTATAGTAAATGCCAGTTATAGATAGTGTATGTAATTATAATTTCTAGGTTTATCATTAACAAAGATATAGTTGGACCACTGCACTTTCATATGAAAGTATCTCTGCTAAAATTTACCTTTGTAGCAAAGTGTTTTACCTGATTCTGTATTGGATAAGCACTGGCCATTTTCATTCAGCCTGAGCCAGTTTGGGTTGCTTCAGTGAATCAGGAGAATGCTCCAAATGGCACACCTTTTGGTATGAGGAATGTATAGTTCTCATGATGCACTGCAACATGAAGCAGGCTCTCTCTACTGAATGAAACAGAGGCCGGTTGGCTAAAGAGTAACAAATGTCAGCATATTGTTGGCCTGTTCGAAACACGTTGAGAGCATCTTAATTGTTGTTCCAACTGAATTTCATCCATAGTTTGTGCAACTATGTGTGTATACTAGCTGAGGTTGTTTTTGTGCATGTCTGGAAAAGGATGGGAGTGGGGGGGAAAGGGGAAATTGAATGCATGCAAACTATTTTTTTAAAATGCGGTGAGCAAATGAGTAGTATCTCTATAGCAACGGAACAAATACTGTTTTTTTTAAAGCTACGAGTCACCTTAATTTTTGCCTGAGGTCCAAATACATGAGTCAGTGGGGGAAAGTGCAATTGAGTTTACACTGAAAAGAAACAGAAAAATCCCTCCACTTGACTCCCTCCCTCCCCCCAGTTGTTTTAAGACAGAACTATGACACTGCCTACATTATTATATAGTCTGCCCATTCCAGAGAAACCATTCTGCTTCTTCCCCTCACCCCCATTTTTTTAACTTCCTCTTACTTACATGGCCTTCTGAACCACGTTGCAAGCGATACTACTCTCAGCATGTCAATGCATGAGGATGCTACTTAACTGGCCACAATGTTGACCTCATTCTTAGCCCATTCTGTTGTTGATCCAATGCTGTACTTTGCATTTTTCTTTTAAATGAAGGTTACGAAATGTCACGGAGCCTTAACAGCATAGCTGGCATAAGCGGAAAAGCGATAGGATTATCCTCAGTGTCTGCGCCCTACAGCTCTCCTAGCCCAGTGAGACGTTCTTGGTCTCCCATCCCATCTATTTTGTAGCATGGATCAGTAGCAGAGAATGGTCTAAAAAGCTTTATTTACAATTAGCCTATGCTATGTTTCATATAATCCAGGTGACTAAGTCTGAAGATGTCATGTCTCACAGTAGCACCTCCTGGGCATGGTGTTACTACTGACATTTGGTGACAACACCCTTAAATAGTATAAAGATGACACTAGGTGGGCATTAAATAGTACTGGTGGGCCATATGCTGCATGGTATTGGTACATAGGATGAAGGGTGGATGCATCAGATAATTTCTTTAATGGTCCACCATGCTGGTATGTGCTTATCTTGGCTAATGGTGGATCCACTGGCTCTTATGGAATGGGTTAGGCATTTAGTCAATGCTGAAACGTGCCAACGATTGAAGATTTTGATTTTCTCAGGATATATTTGAGCCATAGGAACCCTGCAGGAGTTTGAGGAAACAAGCACAGTAGGATGAAACTTTGCATGGGCGCCTATTATAAGTTGAAAGCAATACTCAGATACACTGTAGAGAGGTCTCAGTCTGGCTGACTGCATGGAAAAAAAATCCTGTTGAAGAAGAATATGGCTGCCTCTGCATGTAGCTACTCTACCTTTTCCTCCTTCCTTTAAAACTAAAATGCCAAGCTTGATTTGAAAAGCACAGGAAAGAAGCTCAAGTATTGATTGTATTCTTTACATGCAGATCTTTGCAAAGAAAGTCCTGTCATTGCTAAATATATGCCAACAGAGGCAGTCAGAGTGACTTGACAAGGCGAGATGGAGATGAACATTGATGGCTAATAAACATCTGTGTGGAACTGTGCAGGCATAGAAGACCTCCTCATTTGGACAAAGTAAACTCGCTCCATGCAGGTTTTAAGGATGATTCTATGTGGTTTCAGAGTTGTACTAGAGATGCAGGCTTTTTCTACGGCCAAAATGTAACAAAACTGTAGAAGATCTCTTCTTCCTTTCTTTTTTGTTTTGTTCATAGCATGAATTGCATGAAGTAAACAAAAACTGCAATTGTATGATTAACTTTAAGGGGAAAAAAAGAAAGTTATATATTTTCTTTGAAAGCTCTTTACTTTTACATACATTGTTGTAGCCAAAATGTAAAACATTATAAAACTGTACATTTCTTTGCTATGGATTGCTTCTTTTTGTATACAAGATACAGAGTAATGGTTTTAAAAAGTGCAATCAGGCAGTCATCGGTCATATTGACCATGCCTTCATATCTCATCACACTGACATGGAAATCAAGAACTTTTAATTCAACTAGAATTGTGTAAATTTAGGAAACTCCTTTTTTTCCTGTCTGTTTTCGTTGGCATGCTTGTGACACATGGGACCTTTCTTTGGACCTGATGGTAACAGCTGGTCTAGATTTAATTTCCAGCTCTGGTTATGTTGTATTTTATTGATGTATAGATCCAACGTGAAGACCCTTCATAACAAATTGTTCATATTAAGTAATCAGTATGGATTTGAAACAAAAAAAAAGTGTTATTTAAAAACTGAGACTTATAGTACAAAAATCAGGAGAATACTCAAGTATAAACTTGTCTCAAAGTTTAAGAAACAAGACAACAGCATTGTATGCAATTTAGTACTTCTGAGTAAAATGCATGCACAATGTTATGCAAAACAATTCTAGCATGAAATAAATTTTGTATCATGGTTTCGGTGCCTGCTGTACAGTGTAAACCAGAATTATTTTCTGAAGTGATCAGGGGTTTCCAGAGACTTGCTTCTGAAATCTTGAATAAATATATAGTGTTCCCAACAGAAATGCTGGAGAGAAGCTTGGTATTGGTTTGATTCTAAAATGGTAATTTTGGTTAGTGGATAACAAATGAAGCCTGCAAACACTTGATACAACCAATGTCTGAAGTTTTCACAGCACTAGTAAATATTACCAGGGAAGATAAAATCTAGAATTATTTAGGTATCTCTTCATCTCCCCCCAAATAATAAAAGTTTGTCTTTTTAGTAGATGAAGTGAATTCAGTTTTTCTTACTTCTGTGAGTCTGTCTTAACTTGTTCTTCACTGAGCCCTAATAATCCACCAGCTCTGAAACTTTGCATGAGGTCCAGAGCTAAGCTACTGCAGGTGCCTGAGTTATGTCTTAGCTGCCAGATATAAAGGGCACCAGCAGGAATTCAGGAAAGTAATGACATTGTACTTCATTTCAGATTCCACAAATAAAATGTATGGAGTATTTGCCAGGACCCTTCTAGTAGCTTGAACATTTCTGGCAAAGTATTTCTTTAAGAGTTCCCCTTTTGTCATCATATCAGACAATTTAATACACTTGGCAGCATTCGAGCCAGAAGGCAAGAAGGCATCTGGGACTGCTAAGGGAAATGAAAAAGAAAAGAAACAGAATCTGAGAGGTCCTGAGGAATTATGAATAAAAAAAATAAATCAAGGAAGATGCACCAAAGGGTATGGTAAGTGTTACAAACAAACAAACACACACCACACATACACACACACCATCCTCATAGCCCCATAAAGCTCTACCTCCAGAAAGAAAAAAAAGTGCAGCTATCAGACCTGTGATTTAGGAAGAAGATTAATACTGAGGATCTGAACTCGAAGCTAGTAATGAGGCTCCTTCATCCTTTCTGATTTAGCATTATGCATTAATTCCTAGTTCAGCCTGCCTTCTTTTTTTAGGAGTAATTTTCCATCTCTGTTTCTATCCTGGCATGGTCTTCCTTGATAATGGCCAATTTCTTATCTCCAGAATGCAAGCTAATCCAGGGTCCAACCTTGCAGAAGCTAATGTGGGGTTTTTTTGGTACAGTGTATTAAGGATCTAAAAATAGATTTATTTGTTATACTTTTGTATTAATTTAATAACATTATTCAGAGACCTGGTGTGAAATCTGCTCACATTCCCTTATTACCATAAAATAATTAATACTGATTAAAAATTCAATCCAATAAATCCCACACAGGTGTTCCCCTTACCCAGTGCTTGGTTCAGATAAGAGTCTTTCCTTTAATTAACAGCTTGAGTACCCAAGCTCTGAGATAGTTGTCATTCTGTCCTATTTTCTCCCGGAACCATGTTACCAGTCCGATGTTGGGGTCTTTCACTTAAAATATACCTCCTTGCTTATTCTTCTCTCCGCTCTGCAGTAATTGAGTTTTCTGGATGCCTTTCACTAAACCTTCAGAAATAGAACTGCATTTCTCATTCACTGTTCTTCAGGAGGCACTTTCAAAACATAAGGTCCTTGGCGAGTCCACAGTTCCCTTTTGCATGACAGAAAATGTACCACCGTGATGACAGACCCCCTGATCTCTCCCTAAGCAATTCTGACAGTCCAGCAGGCAACAGCTGAGAGACTTGAAGGTTCTAGAAGCACTCACGTTAGGAAGCACTAGTCAGTGCACAGTGATGCCAGGGAAGTGCCCAGGGAATCAGGCTATCCCATTTGCATACACAGGCTGTTTGTTATCTGAGCGGGTTGTGCTATATTAACATGACTACAACATTTATGAATTCAAATCTGTCTCTTTCACAGCCGGCACATAGCACTAGAAATATTACACCCATTGGGTCTGATTCTGTTCTCACATTAGTTTTAGATTGCTGTAACTCTGTTGAAAGTTACTCCTGATTTTACACCTGTGTAAATAAGATCAGAATCAGGCAATTTGTTTTGATTACACTCCTGGCCCTTTAAGCTTCCCTCTGCCCTGGAGGAAATGAGCACCCACATTTTTTATAAGAACTTGGCTTTATTCAATGGAGTTATATCTATCTAGCTTCCCATCAATAGTATTGGAGCTCTCCAGAAATCCCCTGCAAGATTAGTGGAATTTTATAAGGCCAGGATTGTGACTTTAAAAGTAGATTAATAAATAACATTGAAAACATCCTTATAGTTGCACAACTTGCATATGCACCGCTCATATCTTCAGAAAGAGTATAGGCATTATTTTTCCCGGATCAGCTTGACACATGATATACGACATGCTGGCTCTACAACGGTTACTTCAAACAGTAAGGAAATGGAAAGTGGTTTCTATTCTTTCATGCCAGAAAGGAATCTAGCTAATCATGCTGTGATAACAGTCAAGTGTAATGGTCATTAATCTGGATAAAATGATTTTTCACATAAATTGCTCTCGCTCTCTCTTTAAAGTTTCAGTGCCTAAAAAAAATACATCACTGAAATGAATGGACGTTAGGACAAATGAGCAGGCTAGAATGCAAGGGAGATAGAGCAGTCAGAAAGGAGCTGAGCACAGAATCATTATGAAGAAGATACCCTGAAGGTTAAAAAAAAAAAGCAATATTTTTCCTGCTCCCCCACATTACAACGGCTCTCGTCAGCTTCACAATAAGGCAGGCTACACTTCCTTTCCCCAGAAATACCCCGGAGAGAACCTTGTCTTCAACCTCACACACTAACTGAACTTTGAATTTATGCTGAATTTATGCAGATTGCCTTTTAGACCCTCTTCTTTCTAGATTTCCAGACATAACGCACTTCTCCGTGTAGCAGTGCCTGTCATCTTGCATCCATTCATACAAATCTTTCTTTATCCAAAATAGTAGCTGAAATATTTGTCTGATGTCTGAATATGAACACTATTAATGATCAGATATTAAAAATGAAGTCAGTTAACTACTTTAAGCTTAAAAACCAAGTTAAAAAATATGTTGAAAAAGCATCTTTTATAACTCCTCCCCCCAGCTCCCTCCCCTCCAATGACTATATACAAAGACGCTGAAAACATAAGGAGGACTATAATGAGGCAAATACTTTTAAAATAAACAGCTGGGGATCTATTGTTGAACCCAGTGTGTATGGGTAAGATTTTCAGCCCTCAGCCTTCACTTGTGCATTGACAAAACAGCAGGCGCATACACTTGCAGCTGAACTTTGCAAGGTCAAGCACTGTCCACACCCTTTAAACAACCCAACACTAGTGCATGCACATGGATTTGCACCTTCACCTATGCAACCCATCAGGACCCCCATTCAACAAAGCATATAAGCACCGGCTTAAGTCCTGGGTAACGTCAAGTGGAATTAAGCACTTGCTTAAGTGTTTTGTTGAATCTGGGCATGAGGCCGGTGAGTTTGGCAGATGGGGTGTGTCACGGAGCCAGCAGCATGAGGTCCCCCAAGTGACCTTGTGCTAGTGGAGAACCAGTGTAGTAGAGCTCCACTCTACCATGCCCCTTACAACAGAAGGGGGGGGGGAGGAAATGGGGAGCATTACACTAGTAAAGAGTTTCCTTAAGCAGCACAAAGTGGCCATAGTAGACCAGCGAATGGAGCCCACAGTCCCTTCTTCAAAAAGCTTCCAGTCAAAATGGTGCGAATGAATGTGTATTCATGTATGTAGGTCCCTGTATAGCACTCGCCACTGTGGTGTCCAAGTGTGAGGGAGACGAGAGAGAAAGAGGGAGGGGAACAGATTTTTATTTTAATTACACAGGCATAAACCCTAAACAATCCCGCTGATGAGATTTAAAACAGCCAGAGGGCATACATTTTCTTTATTCTCACCACTATTAAGAATGTGTGTTTTTATGTGTGACTAGGGAATGCAGCATGGCCTAGCAGATAGAGCACTGGACTGAGACTTGGGATCTATTCCCAGTGCTGCTGTAGGCCTACTGGGTGGCCTTGGGCACCACTCTGTGCCTCAGTTGCCTCATCTGTAAAATGGGGATAATAATATTGATCTCCTTTGTAAAGTGCTTTGAGCGCTATTGACAAAAAACACTATATAAGAAGTAGGTATGATTATTAATTTAGGGTTACCATATTTCAGCGAGCAAAAAAGAGGACGGGAGGAGCCCCGCCCTAGCCCCGCCCCTGCCCCTCCCACTTCCCGCCCCCCCCTGACCTCCCAACCCTCCCCCCGTTCCTTGTCCCCTGACTACCCCCTCCTGGGACCCCT